GAGAGAGAGAGAGAGAGAGAGAGAGCTGGTGCTGTTTCTGGTTGTGCTCATCTCACTGTGTAAGTTTCTGAGTTCTACGCATTTTTTTAGTTTTTAAATTAATTTGGGAGACTGATGTTTGTGCTATGTGTAATGTGTGTAGCTGCATGGAGAATCTTTAGCTGTTAAATTCTGTTGAAATTCTGCTTTTTAGGTTAGATCCGTCAATTACTGTTGTTGTCGGAAAAGAAATTTTTGAATTTTGGTTTTAGCGAGGTAGATTTTGAAAATTGAGCTGCATTACGGAATTAAGTGAATGGAGTGAAGATTACATGAGCTTACGAAGCATATATGGATTGTACTTTAGAGCTTTTCAATTGTCGATCAGATTTAGTGAATGTATGACGGTATGATTTTGCAGATCCACATTGTTCAAATTTAGTACTGCTGAAAGTATGATGCATTATTGTTTTGGGGTGATGATAAAAAGCTGCTAATATTGATTAGTACATGCTGAGTTATGAAATATTATCACTTATGGGGATATCAGATGAGCTTGTTCGTCCCTTGAGCATCTTGGTTACTATCTACGAACTTTCTCCTGATTTAGTATTATCCGTTTTGCGTGAGGAGTAAATATGATTGGTGGCGAAAGCAGAAAGATGCTAATAGTCTAGTAATTTTTTCATCTTAGAAAGTTAAATCTTTATACCGAGATAGCGTTTGCTTCATCATTTGAACCAAGAATATATTCTCTTGAACCAAAAATAATCCATAGCTTCTCAGCTTTCATGCCCTTTAAGCTTAAGTAATCATCCTCTTGTTTTGGGTCTGCAGAACATTTTTGTGTCCACGAGCTGCGAACGTGACGGATTACTGTGAAGATTTAACTCTCCACATTTTACCGAACAGAAACAAATGGAGGTATTTGGCAAATCTATGGTAGCTGGCCCTACCAATGTTATTTACCTGTCTAGTATTCTTGGCCAGGATGGGCCCAAGCCCATCCACAAGTGTGACTGGAGATGTCAAAACGAACATGTGTGTGGCAATATGTACCGATGCAGGCTAACTGGGCTGACCCACGTTTGTGACAAAAACTGTAACCAGAGAATCTTGTATGACAACCATAGTTCCCTCTGTCGAGTGAGCAAACAGATTTTTCCTCTGACATTGGTGGAGCAACAGGCCGTGAAGGGTGTTCGGAGAAAGCTCGACTCAGAGGGTGGGCCCACTGAAAGCTGTGGCTTCAAGCGGAGGAGGGACACTCAGCTTCACCGTCCATCGCCTTTCGAGAGGTCGTTTAATGCTGTGGGACCCATTTGCAGCCCGGTTGGCGATGTTATGGATATGAACTAGAGAGTTACATAATTTGCTAGTTTCAACATGTCCTTTTGTCCCTTCTCCTCCCTTGATCTTCTTTCTTCCCTAGGATGAATTTGGGACTATGTAGGGAAAAAAATAAAAACTCTACTATTGTCTTTCTGTTGTGGCTCTACCAATTTGACAAGACTCGTAACTCGTAGGATTTTTATAATGCTATGTTCTATGGACTTATTGAGGAACTCGAGCTAGTATGCTATTAAGGCAAGGTTATGTTAGAAAGCCTTGTTTATCTATTATGTGGTGCACTACTAATTGCTATACCCTCTTGGTTATTTTTTTTTCTTCTCTTCATTTGCTTCTCGTCTATCATACACCGTTTTCTATATTTATGACTTCAGCACCTCGACTGTGACACAGAAGCAGCACCCTTCTGATTCTTTTTGTGGAAATGTATAAATATTTCATTCATGGTGAATCTTGGGTGTACTGTTTGGTTGCTTTGTTCTTCAGGTTGGGAGGAGCTGCCATATTATTATCTGGTGAAAGTTGTTCTGGTTGATATTTTTTAGTGTATGTTTGTGATGCAGGGAAGGAGGAAGATCTTATTTCAATTTCGTCTTCGGATTTGCTTCATTTCCTTTTTAAATTTCTGTTCGCATTCTGGTTGTTGTAGAACTCTGATGCTAAAGTGGCTTGTCTTTTTTGCAGGAGCTGAAGCATATTCCATTGGAAGATTTGTTTTGAAACATTGTTTGTCGTACAAATGAATTATACAATAGCAGCAATTTGCTTTCGGTTCTTGTGAAGCTTCTAAAATTTAATTTCCATTTTTATTCATGCAGGAGAATAAGCTGTACGTCTGTCAATAGCAGCTGCCCGAGAATGCGTCTACTTGACAATGACGAAATTCACCCGAGAAACTAAGAGTAAACTGTAAAGATCTATTCCTAGTTTCAACTTTGCCATCATTTAACCGTGAAAGGCCTATCTCCAGAACATGTTAGCCCAGAAATCAAGAATGTGGAGATCATTTGAACAATGTTTTAAAAATTTCGTGCTAGCTGTGACATCTCGGGTTTTCTGGAGAATCCTCTGATCTTTTTTAAAGAAAGGAAAAATATCATTCAGATCAAAGAGTGGATAAGTTTGATTAATTCTTTGTATTTGACCTTCTGTTTTGCAGACCAGAAAGCAGAAACAATGTAAGTATCCAGTATCTTGTTTCGAGCCTGACAATGTAACACATCGATTAATGATGATGATGTCTTTTCGGTTTATATAAATTTTTTTATACTATCTTCTACTTTTTTTGGGGGGGTTAGTATACTGCATGTGCTGTACTTAAAAGTGTTGCTATCCATAATTCAGAATTCAGATGACCGTTATGGGTTCCCGTAATTTAAGTTAAAAATAACAGAAAAAATGAGTTGAACATATTTCTTGTTCTCTTTTCCTTTTTTTCCTCGTTTACTTAAGGTTATAGATAAGATTTTATATTTCAAAATCATGTTTCAATCTTACTTCATTTGTTGAATGATTGACACATTTTTGTAAATATGTGTCATTCATTTAATTTCAACAGAATGTGAACTGAAACATGAATATAAAATAGAAAATCCCTTGTTCTGTTCACTTTTGCTTACTGTGTTTGTCGAGATAACAGTTATGAGCTTGAGTTCATATCTTAGAGGCCTCATGAGACTAGGCTGGGCTCAACAATTATGTTGCTGCTTGAGGCTTGAGCTCATGTTTTGTAGTCCTCGTAAGACTAGGCTATATTCGGTGAGTAGATTGGGCATGGGGTTACAAAATAGAGACCCTATTCGGTTTCTTGGCTAGGATGTCCCGGCACAAATGTAAGGATAATGAACTGTTGAAATTTGCTTGCTTATGAATAATTTTAACAAAATCAACTTAGGTTGGTTGTATTCGTATAAAATGACTCTTGAGTTGGGGAAAAAATAATGGAAGAAATATTCAATATATATATCAAAAGGTTTCAATATATAGAGTTGCAATCCAACTGAGAGTTAATGCTTTGGCTCGAGAGTTTATCCAATCGAGCTCGGT